GAATTATATTATCATAGTCGGTCTTGCTCATGATCATAAACATAATTTTATTCAAAGTTTTTTGAACATATAGAGTTTTTTTTATTATTGAGATGCCACAATAATTTTGATCATTTGATGAACTAGATTATCTTTACAGTATCTACATAATAGATTATCTCTTTGATTGTCAATACTACACTCGCCATTTATGCTTTAATATATATTAATTAGTTATTAGATTTGATTCATAAAAAAACATTTTTAATAATAGGTTCGACCAATGTATTTGGTGGGCCATCACTATAGCACTTTTTCCAGCATTAGGCTCAGTTAGATATTATTTTACTTTCTTTATTAGACCGAAGTTATAAACTTTATCGATTGCACAAAATGTTAATCCATATTTTTGAATGCTAATAATGGTTATTTATATTATTTGTGTATGAATTTTTTTTTTTGTGAGTACACAATAGAGTTCTATATTTATTCATCATCTCCAGTGTTGCAGAGGTATATAACCTTCTGGTTTCATGTTATGTTGGCACTTCTCCATGATCACTAAACTATGCCACATATTTTCATGTAAAGCAAATGATAAGTGCTAACTAAGCCAACACATAAGGAAAGCAATGCCAATAAGCTTAAGAGCATTATACTATAAGTATTGTTTTCTATGAACACTATAAAAATCACATTTGCATAATTCACATACTAGGAGAAAAGGTATATGAATACAAAATTCATAAAGAAAAAAATTTGGTGAGGATCTCTAGCCAAATTTTAGTTAGATTAGGTATTAAAATCCTTAGATTTACTTTAAAATAAATATTAAATATCTATGTATTGAACTCATCTCAAATAAATCCGAGGGTTATAAAATCTAGTCTAGTTAGATTTTGGTCAGGACTCATGAATTTTCTCTAAATTCTAAATTTGTTGATTTGATCCAACACTCTACATCTATTTTTTTTTCTAATTAATTTAAATTATCCAATTTTTAGCCGAACACGAGCTGCACACGAATAATACTATGTAAATCAAGCCTAACAAGAACACACTGTTCACGACCAATTTCAAACTAGTCGAACACGAGGTAAGCCTGAGCTCGCTCAACCTTGGCTTGTTTACAACCCTACTTGGTCTGTTCATTAAGATCTATTAATGCTTAGTATATCTTATCTATACCATAGAAATAATTGCCATTTAATGACACACAACACACTCAATACAATTTTTAAAATTATGGGTTACAAATCCAATAAATAACATACCTCTAAACAAAATTATGCATGATAGGTAAACAAAACTAAGCCAACTTTATTGCAAATAAGTCTAATTGAGAGATCAAATTGACTTGATACAGTCATTTAAAATTAATAAATATCATGTTATGACATTAATTTACAATAACATCTCTTAGAAAGCTGAAGGATTTTTCTCATAACTTTTTTTGCAACTATATAAAATTGACTTTGTTTTGTTTAGTTTAAATATGGTTTAGGAGATTATTTGCAATAATTTGAAAGTCCAAGATATTTTCATAGCAAAATAAGCTTAGATATGGTTTAGGAGATTACTATGGTTCTCTTTTTTGTCATTGAGGAGTTTTGTGCAAAACAATATTTTTGATTTTCATGCCCAAATTATTTGATATAAAGCTTAGGAGACAGTTACATTTTAGACCTTTACTTCTATAATTTACAGATTTTACAAATAATAATAATAATATTATTATTATTTATTTTTACATCCTCTTTTACTTGATGGATTTGACAACCTATAACTTATTTTTGTTAAGATCTAAATTTTTTTTTCTTTTACTCCCGCTGTCTCCCGATTCTCCTCTTTTCTTTTTTGGCTGCCTTCCAAATTGTAAGTCAAGATATATTTCATTTTTCTCTCGATTTGTTGTGCCGCCTTTCTTTGCTTAGAATGTTTACCGCCTCACCAGGCTATTAGGGGAGCACTGTTTACGTATGGCATATGCATGCAGTTCTGCGTGAACTACGTGCGTATGACCCCGAATAACATTCCAATAACTCAATACATTCCGCGGTTCGACGTTCATCTGTTTTCCTGTCATTCGAGGGTTTTGAGAGGTTATTAAGGGTTCTAACCCCAATAGCAGCAACATGACCCTCCAATACCCTCCAAATAACCTTCATACGCACATAATTCTGCGTGCATATGACGTACGTAAATGTTTTTTCTATTAGGGAGGATCGATGCCTTGGTTAAAAGCACTCTTCATCTACGTGATTTCCCTTCTTGCTTTCTAAGGGTTCCGCCCACATCTCTTTATCTTGGTAAAACATTTATTAAGAGAAAGACGTTGTAAATTACTTGCTCTAAATTATTCTTGATGACATAAATGAAGCTGATTGACTTGCTAATTAGATTTTGTAACAATAATAGAACAATGTTAATATATTTTATTGAAATTATAAAGACAATAGAGAAAACTACATGTTTAATAAAAAAACGATTCAACATAACACCCAAACAAATTATCTAACAAATATAAAAAGACAAACTTACAATTAAAGAATATTAATGTTACATGCTCCCTTTAAAAGATTAAGATAATCAATTTGTGGAAATGATGGTGTAAACCATGTTGTTGAAGGGAACCAATTAGTCACCGAATGTGACGAGTCCAGGAAATACTCGAAGCAGACATTATGTAAATCAAAGAGTCCAGTATCATGATTAAAGTTTTGCCAATGATCAGAGAAGTATATGCAATTTGGCCTAATTTTGGGAGCAATGGTGTGATGTAATGAAAATGTCTGGTTACAACCTATAAATAAGGAACAATCTTCCAAATCCTTGATGGGGATCCATGGAGAGTAGGTGCAAGATGAAGCAACATCAGTTAGCACAAACTTAAAAACATTGATGTTGGTTGTCTTTAATATAAAAGTATTGTTATTCACACCCCAAGAATGAAAAAAGCACCTCTCGATTTTTATAAGTGTTCCGGACAAAAAAACAATATAGTTTCTGTAATAACAGTCATTTAAATACGGTTGTTGTATTGCTGGACATATCAGTTTAACATTTTGTCCATTATGATTAAAAGACAACACCGCTGAAAAATGTGTGATTACATAAAACATTTGTTCTTCTTCGTTAAAATAAACATCATCAAACTCCTCAATATATTGGTTCGAGTGGTAAGGAGGTAATGGCGGGCCCAAAACCCATGCCCGATCACCCGGTGTTGCCAAAACCAATGATTGTTTATCGCGGTAGATAACAACAGCAGTTCCGGAGGAGTTATTAAAGGAGAGAACAATCTTTTGAAAAATTGCATCGCGGAGTATTTGGTAGGCCGTGTCATTGTGTGAATTACTTCCATTAATAAGAGAATCAATTGCGTCGTCTGGGGCGTATTCGGGCTTTATAAAATGTCAGTTACTTATGGGGATGGTCAAGATGGATGGGAGGGATAGTTCAGACTTTGTGATGGGGTTGAAGAGACGAGGCTGCAAGTCCTTTCTATCAAGTGTCACGAGCCATCCATCCTTGGAGCCGATGCAGCGACGGCCGGAGCTGTGGCTACCGGTGATGGTTGTCGCGGCTGTCTTCGATGGTAAGATCACGAAATGTGAGTGTGTCGGAGGGCTCTCCGGCATCGTTGGGAAGAAGAAGCCATGGAGAGGGACGACACTGAATTGGAGGATAGGAGTTGTTGGCAAGAGCTGAATTCCACGAGGTGCAAACGATGGAGAAGCGCGGAGGAAATCGACAATGGGTACGAGGGAGGAGATGCAACGGAGTAGATCTCCAGGGAGATCGGACCAAGCCATGGAGCGGCGAACGGCATAAAGCAGAGCTGAGATGTATTCTACCACTACGAAGCTCCTATATAT